AGCCTTCCGAGTACGTGCGCTATTACAGTGACTTGTGCAGCTGATTACCAAATCAGTGCTTCCATCCCTCACTCTCCCAGAGTACTCTGGCGCCAATTTACCCTTCCCAGAGGGTAGAGGGATTGGTCGGCCCAGGGCGGGATGAAACCTTGGTCCGACCAGTGGCCGTATTCATCAACGAAACCCATGGGTTCCGGAACCCACTGAGCAGTGCTTTTGGTGAATATCGATTCTTCCCTGGAGTAGAATCGATATTCATCAAAAGCACTAACCCAATGGGTTCCGGAACCCAGGGGTTTCGTTGATGAATACGGCCGCAGGTCAAGCGGACCCTCATACCGTAAGCCACTCGCTCCGTTGAATAAATTGAGGAGGACCGAACCTGGTATTCAGGCCTGGGTAACACCACGTTCTAAGGAAATTTGCTAAATCCTTCGAATTCTTCAAAAATCTATAAAGGCGTGATAGCCCCTAAACACCAATCTGTTTTGCTTCGAAGAAATTGCAAAGTTGTTTCGATTATTTGCAAGCAAAGAAGTGGCTGTGAAGACAATTGAAGGCAATAAATAATTTTGATGATGCATACCAGGTAATTAGAAATCAATATAATCACTTGATGCTCTCTCTAGCAAATTTCATTTCAAAGCAACAAAGAAAGTGCGGAAGAAATTAGAGCTTTTTTTTCTGGGAGTAAGCAACCTTTTTTTTTACTCTACCTCCAAAGCGTACGCATGCAAAGTTCTGTCGGGTTGAGTCGAGAACAGATGCTGAATTTACAGAGAGACACACAGATACTAAGCTGCTTCTAACTGCAGCAGCTGCTGCGAATCTAAACCCGTATCAGTCAAACAGACAGGGAAGTGACCAGCTTTGAAAATTCATAACCCAAGAACTTTTCCAGTCTCTTGCTACATTAGGTCAAGCGGACAGTCGTCAAAGCTACAGAATCTGGGTTAGCTGCTTCATAGATAACGGTGTGACCGCACTGTACCAGATGGGTCGTAGTTGAGTTGGCGAAAACGGAAGCGGGTTTTCACCCAGAAATTTCTCTCTTCAGAATCTAGTCTTAGGAAAAGCCTAGACTACTGGTACGGCTGCCGAAGTTTTATAAACTTTCCCGCTTCACAAGGCTCCGATGAAAATTATCGTTTTTTACCCCAAACCCTGTCATTTCCATCCACTGTTCGCAATTCGAAGATCATACCTCTTGAGTGGAAGCCACGTAGCAACCCTGAGGACTTCGCTTTCGAAATTTCAAGTGCTATCTCATGCCAAGCTTTGATAAAAGCAGTAAATCAAGCATCACCTCCTAAAAAGCTTTCACATGAGCACAAAATCCGCGACAAGTGCATGCATGGTATTTGATGGTTGGGTGCTCTCTAGACACCTCTCAAAACTGCAATTAACAATCCTTATATCAGCTCAACGGGGGACGAGTGGCGTAGTGGTATGAGGCGCCGCTATGACCAGATCGGACACAGGTTCGATCCCCGCCTCTGGGCCAACCAAGCCCTCTACCCTCCGGGGCCGGTAAATTGGTACCAGAGTAATCTGGGAGGATAAAAGCACTGACTTGGAAACGGCTGGCCCCTGCAAGTCACTGTAATAGGCTCGCACGCATACAATTGCCTCCTCGACCATAAAGTTAGTGTGTGCGTTCGGCGCATGCCCTCAGAGGGTATTGAAGACGCCGAATCCTTTATCCTTTTATATCAGCTCAACTGAAGCAAACGTATTGCAGGATAGCTCCTGTATTCTTCGTCGAAATATACCGGCTGAAGCCTTTTTAAATACTGTGCAGAATTTATGCTTTGAGCAAATTTTTTTGCATAGTAGGAACAGATGTACAGACAGCTGGACATACAATACCGCTCACAGTCAGTTAATAAGTCCTCGAATTACACCGGAGGAGGCGACATCCTCGTTTTATCCCCATATTAGTGTTCATAGTTCACAAATTCTGAATCAAAAGGAGCTGAGGTCGAACGTGCTTTTGGATTCGGAGTTCGTCGATTCTGAACAAAAAAACAGCGATACGACGCGGGTGTCGCCGCTCTGCGGTAGAGTACGGCTTTTTTGACTGTTTGTGAGAGGTATTGTATAGGTTTGAAACACGCGATGAAAGCGAGATTCCGTAATACACATAGAGACAAAACTACGATCCAAAGATTCACAGCTGGTCCATAAGAATAGTAGCGCCGGCAAGAGACTGCAAAGACAACAAAAAGCTGTATATGAATCATCAGCTAAAGCCTATATCTCCGCAATTTAGTGAATCCATAGAATGAGAAAAACACTGACGGGATACGGAATCTTCTAGCCACTTTCTAATCCGGATCTGGAAGAATTCATAAAAAAGTGATCAGTGCTCTTCAAAAGAATACGACTTTTGGAAAACGTCCACAAACAAAAATTAAGACATCTAGTGCACCGCGCTAGCTTTACTTTCTGATAATCCCAGATAGGATAGCCATCATGAAATCATTGGATGATAGGGTAACTTACGTTTAGTGGGCCAAAAAGAGCCAAAAAGCAGAACCGCACATGAAACGCCTGCAGAAAATGACATTACCTTTTTTTACTCAAAAACCAATCACTGAGTTTCGGCGGACAGAAATGCAAGTATCAGATATCAATACACTGAAGTTAAGATTGAATACAAAGGCAACGAAGTGTTTGCAGACAACAACACTGCAACTTTTACAGTCTGGTTCAGACACAACAACATCAAAAATCTGGTTGGCTGAACTTTGACTGGACGTATTATTCAGCAGAGTACGCTCATTTCCTATATTGGCCAGACAATGGACGATCAGATCACACTATTTATGCGGCCACAAAACGACATGAGTGAAATCAGCACAGATGACATGAAATGGAAAGATTCAACTGCAGATGTGGACATCCTGCATATGAAGTGATGGATAATAAAACCGATGACCAAAATATTTGCCACAGGAAGTTTAACAAACAATATTTGGTGTGTTTTGGCACAAAGCTAAAAAGCCTAGCTCAGCGGATAGGATCTTCAAATGCTATAAAGTTCAGAGAATTAAAATTGTGACGCATTAATAACTGATCATCGACCAATATGCCTGATAAAATTTTGATCTGAAGTTCGGAAACAGTTTGCAGTTAGATGTTTCGTGAGCGATCAGAAAAAAACTGCGTCATTCGTGCTATTGAACAACACTAGGTTACATGCAAAAAAACATCGTTTTCCAATTTTCTTACTCTGCTACGTTACCATAGGATGTATCTCGATACATTGCCTCAAGATTGCGAAGACTCTAACAATGAAATTCTAAGTGATGATGCATATAATCAGATGAAAGTACCATTTCTCTATCAGTCATGATATGTAGATCATCTACTCAGATTATCTCTCAAATAAAAACCGAGTTTGAGATGGCGATAATCAAACAGAATCATAAGTACCTTCGAGCTCAGCTGAATCACCGCAAAAAAACTGATTGGACTCATATAAAGGAAGATAGAATGTTAACAAAAAGATATTAGCGGTGTCTTCATAGAGAGTCACAAAGGCAATGGATTAAAGAAGAGTTGTGTACGACTTCAGAGAAGAAAGAAGCTAGATCGGCCCATCTCGTCACTATAGATTGAAAGAGGTAGAAACAAAGTTTCAGGACTCCTCTCCCATTAAAAGCCCCCGAATAAGCTCGCAGATGGTTCAACACATTATTTTGCACAGTGAATTTGGCTACGTCTCCTGTAGATGAATCAAGTGATGACATGATCCGATACCGCAAATATTAAATGATTGAGCTGACAAATGCAAAGTATGAGGTTTGGTTCATTTTCCTTTATGAAAGAAATTTTTCATCTTCATGAAAACTGAGAAAGATTTGTCAATTTAAAGGCAAAAATTAGCTGTTCCAATGTCGATACAATTTCGTACCCGTGTGGAATACGTGACGCCAGTTGTACTTGAGTTGTTAGCCAAGGCTCAGTACGACATGGCCTTTTAAAAATGCAAAAAAAGGAGTCCTCCCTGAATTTTGCAAATTTTTACGCCCCCTTGACCCTAAATCCTAATCGTAAAAAAACCCTCAGAAAAAAAGGTCGACTAAAAAACTTCATAATTTTTATGGCTTTTCGTCCTCAAAAACGATTCCCCCTTTGCTTTTTGTCCCAAAAAAACGATATCCAGCTTGCTTACAAGCCGCCTGTGCCGAGCCCTGTTGATAGCTGCATAAGATCCAAAATACAGTGTCTCAGTCAGCTTTTGTGGTGAAAAACAGCAGAAGGGTGGTCAGATGTAGCGAAGAATTTTGTTCCGTGAACAATTTTACTGAACGATAGCCGCTCGTATATTTTGTCAAAAATATTGCCTAGCTTGCCGCAGCCGTGTTGTTGATGATGGATACAGCAAAAACCACAAATACACAATGCGGCAGTACCTTTAACTTTTCTGATGAATTTTTTTGACTTGCACGCTTACACTTGTGTTACTGGTCTAGACGCAAATCAACACGTCAAAACGACTAAAAGAAGACTCGAGAATAATTTGCTTACAAGTACTAACGTGTGTACATGGATTAGCTGGCAACAAGTCAGAGTGACCCAGATTGGAAAGGCATAGTGGAAACCTTACAAGAAAGCACATGGGTGGGGTACCACCCCAGGTGACACAATTATACAGAATCCACAATTTTGAACAAATGTTAGGAAGGGGAATGGGGTTGAGAAGAAAGCTTCTACGACTTGCCTAAGTAGAAACGGTACATGCCGCTCAAGGTAAAAGCACAAGTTTTCATTTTCCTCTACAATTTTCATTTTCTTCTACGACTACATCATTTATAACCTAGTGATCTTGGCGTGTGAGAGAATGAATCGTAGCTTCTGCGAACAGTGAAAAACGATGGTAATGTAGTTGTCCATACTCAAGAGCCAATAAAAAGAGCTCCGTATTAGCTCTGTGGCACTTTTCGCCGAAAATCTCCCATCGTTGGCTGAAAGAAGTTCTCGAAAAATGTTACCTTTGTATCATTCTGCTGTGCCATTCTTTGCTCACATGCCGCTTTCGCCTCCTCGAGTGTGGAACAAAATTGTAAAACGGTTAGATCGCTCCCGTTGTGATCGAGTGTTGTGCCTAGAATACATCATTACCGATGTCTGACACGCGAGAATGAATGAACCACCTTCGCCTGCTCCTTCTAGCAACTTCTTGTCCGAAATCACTGTATATTTCATAGCTGTGCCGTCGAATGCAACGGCTGCCTGTGGATTCAACATCAAGCTCTGAAAAGTAGGCTTGAATGTTTTTTGTAATGTGCGAACGCAGGCAAAACGAGAAGTTTACTACAACAATTTCGACGGTCTTCACTTAAATTAGCGAGCTATATCGGTTAAAATGTAGAGTTTAGAAAAGTGGCAACTCTACAGAACCAAATGCCTTCCATACAAGGTTAAACTCTGTGCCTCCCTTCGGAATGGTAGGTGTCAGGAGCATGGGTGGTAGAGCTGATAATTGGTCTATAGGTGTAGTCTTGATAGTCTATGATTCAAGGGAAAGCATTCGTTAGGCGAAATCATTAGCAGAACGATTAGCAATGCCATTCCATCTCCTATTACAAGATTCCTCCCTCCCCCTGGTTTTTTATACAGGCCAAAGGAAGCCCCAGTTTCTAGTGCTGACACCCATACCGCATCTACGCCGTCCAAGCAACCATTATCAACACCTGAAAAGATAATTTGAGCTACTTGAACTTTGCCTACTACCAAGAGATGGAATTGCTATATCAATGACTGGCACGCCAGAAATTGTAAATTCCTAAGGTCATCCATCCATAGGTACGATGGTTAATGGCAGAAAAAACGGCACAAGGGTGTAGACTAATTGGATGGTTTCAGGGATTAGCGCAAAATGAATGATCCCAATTTTTTGTCCAAAGCTGAGGATCAAAAGAATTTGGATCTGCAGCTATAGACATAAGAGCGCATTTATCCTCCATAGCTATCATCTTTCAGTTTTCCCGAACTGATACACCGACATGAGTCTCTAGACACAAAACGGCTTTTTGAGGGAGCATATCTCAAGATGAGGATGTGCCGAAAAAAGTTTCCTCTGGTGTGACTGAATGGCTCCTTAGGTGACGGAGTCAAACTCTGAGTGGTTATCAATTAGGTGCTCTCTTTCTTTATAGTAGCGCTATTGCTTTTGGATCACAGAGAACATGCATGACGTCAGTCGCGGAAGCTGCTTTAGCTCATTCTTGTTCCTGCCATCTCGGCAGCGAACGTGCGTGACAATGATCGGAGACTTCTTCTTCACATTTGGCCACCCACTTATTACTGTGTCAATGGCCTGGCTTGAGCCGTGACTAGAAAAAAAAATGAGATGGCAACACCGCTGGCAGCAATTTCGGTTACCCCAGCGCAGGTGGATCTGTTAGCAAATCTCCCGCAGATGCCTACAATACGACACTTGAGCGTTACCTAACATAATGAAGAGGACAACGCAGTAGTGGCGGTGGATGGAACTCCATTCAGAAGAAGTCACGTTTGCAATCGAAGTCGGAGGGACAGACTTGTTCCATGTCAAACAGTAACGATATGAAAGCCTGTCCCTCTCGAACCCACAGTGAATACGGTACGCGACCTCTCCGGACAATCAAAAGTTCGGCTAGTCACATGCACAAAACACACCAAACAACTAGGATAGTGGAAACGAAAAAATCAAAAGGCAAAGCTATGATCACATCAGAACACTCTAAAAGAAGAGTAGACGTCAAAGGTGAGTTGTCACCAAGAAAAGAACCATTCCTACGAGAGCACAGCTGTTTTGAAGTTTCGCGGAGGATTCGTGCGGAATGTCAACAAAACCGACGGCGGGCATAGGTGGAACATAGTCAATGGGCAAAAATTCTCGCAAACAGAAGCGGAAATGTAATCTGGAAGATGAGTTTCACAAATGGAACGCAATTTGAGTTTGTCCAGAACATATTTGAGCAGATCTAAGCTGGAGACGAGGAGTGGAAGGTGGTGGGGACGGCGACGGTGGTGGTGGTTATCGCGGGGCCGCCGGAAAATCGATACTCTCTATGCGCCGCCTCCACGGGCCACCGCCACCGCAGCGGCACCGTTACCGCCAACGGACCTTCACCTACCAGAATGAGTAGTTCTTCCAAGAGGTCGGAGTTCGCAAAAGTCATAAACTCAGTAAGCGAATCTAGTTTGGTTGCTACCAGGTGAGAAGACCGACCAGCTGTCGCGCCGCGGCGTGTGCTGGACCTCTTGCATATGCAATTTTGCCAGCAAAAGATGGCATCGGCATTTCAACACATCTCGCTGCGCTCGTCGACCTCGAATTTCCCCGTCGTGTTCCTCATAAGTGCTGTGAAGCTAGGCTTAAATCACCAGTATGATGTGATTATGGGGTACAGAACTACGTCATATGAGACCTATACAACATGAACTGCAATGAGCGCTCACGTGTTTTGTGAGAATTCCCGACAAAAACAAGCAGTCATTGCAGCTTCCTCAACTCTCATTAACCCATTCTCGAATCAAATAGTGCTCAATCTCTATCTATCAATGGCAACACATGATCGCAGAAACTAGAATTTGCTTGTTTTTTGACATTACTCAATTTCTTGGCGGATCCGTGCGCAATCTCACACAACTCCACTATGGACGTCCGCAGTAGACCTCTGAAAAATTCTGTCCCAGAACATCTTGTCGAGGTTCCAGGCAACTTGCTCAGCTGCGGAAGTGGAACACGAGTGGATGCGCATGGAAATGACGAATGGACACTCGCGGCTGTGTTACTCACATCAGTAGCTGTGTGTCTCCCACCATTAGTGCTGCTTCAGCTGACTTCCATTTTCGGGATTTTTCCTTGTGTGCAAGAAGAATAGCCGGAAAGTTGAGTACGAAGTGATTGCCTTTCCCCTGGCACCCAATTGTTCAGTGGTGAAATTTTTGGGTAACGCCTAGTCTACTGAACCCTTCTCAAGTTACTATCTTATCATCGTGGATGACTGCTACGGTCATGTAAGACGTGGACGAGATATTTCCCAATACTTTTTTTGTACAATCTCTTTTCATTGACTGAAAGTAGGCAGTGAATAACGTTTGAACGAACAGCCGTCACTTAGATAATAAGTCTTTGCTATGGCTGAAGGTCGCTTCGTGACAGGCTGACTCATAAAACTGATAGCATAGCCGTGCCAAATAGAGAAGTAATTCAAATTCTACAATATCAGCATTATTTGCCTCAAGAGAGGAAAAGCTTGCGATAGAAGGGGTGAGTGAGCACTGAATCTGAAATTGTCTACTTCCATAGGTCGTGGTGGAGCTGTTCTTGCACGGACATCAATTGTTCGGATGGCCGTAAACATTTTCAGCGTTGTAAATGCCCACGAACATGTGCATGTTTAGGATAAGTGCTATCTCCCTGACAGTGGTACATTTCACTGCTTTTTGTTGTATGTGTCCTATTCTAGACGGACATCGCACACTATTGGCAGAGAACTGGATGTAACTGGCCCGAGTAGTGAGCGTGGATGAATGGGTTGTATCTACAACGCAATAAGAGAAGATCGAGTAACGCTCTGTCTCACTCCCTTCCGAATCTTTGATTAGGAATTTATAGTACGACATATTGAGCAACAGCAGCTCCTAACCGCAGAGATGCTACACTCATCAGTTTTTTGCTAAAACTTGGTGGCTAGGGGATTTTTCCTATTATAGCAATCAGCTGTGCATGCTCAATTAACATCCTCACTCTGATTTTAATGTGGGTGAAGGTCTCGGTTTTGGCAATTTCTGCTCTGAGATCTTGGATAACGATTTTACAACCTTTGAGTGAAGTGGGCTGTTCTCGTGCTAGACGATGATTCAACACCATCCTAGTCCACGACCATAAAATTTGTGCCACAGCTCTTGGCAACCACTTCCCGACGACGACTATCTGACTTCAGTTCCATGTGAAATCTTTACATTTTCCAATCAATGGATTCCCGAACGTGCCTAGTTGTTCTCAGCAGCTCAGAGCGTGCATGTGCCACACTCACTAAGTGTTGCATTTTGTTTGTCAGAACTAGGTGCGTAGTGTACATTCTGCAAGACGTTGCACAGCGATCAATTGTCGACGCAGGCGGAAAGAAGTACCTGAAGGCTAGACTTGCCTATTCGGCCTCGTAGCATCTTTTGACACTAATAACCATGCTATATGTACACTAAGTATAGAACTCTTATGGACAGAAGCGTCGTCAGTGGCCTTTGGCTTCACTGCAAGCGCAAAAAATCCGTAGGATGTGCTTACAAGGGGAGTGTCAGAAGTCGCAGTGGCCTTTTGACATGAGATAGGTATCTTTAAGTAGCTTGGAACGCTGATTCCAAAACAGCCTTCCCTAGTTGCAGAACGAACCTGGGTCGAGAGTTACGGTCAAATTGTGCGGCAAATTTACACCGCTGAAAGTAGCCAAGACTATCGAAGCTCCTGTATTTTAGGCTTATACATGGATGAGGCATTTTATTAATGCTTGATGTGATTCTGCTCCTCCTTCAGTGCTATGCCATAGTGCTCAACAAGCAATCGAAGAATTTCCATGATCATAGGTTACTTGACAACGTAAATTTTGGTGATTAATGCCATAACTTCCGTTCCATTCCTGTTCTCCAGTTAAGGAAGGTTTTTTGGAACCAGCACTTCAAACTGCTTCAGATGGTACTTATCTCCTGTCAAAATGCCGTTGCGAGTTCTGACAGTTCCCTTGTTGGGAGGAACACCTCTTCGACAAATTTGATGCAGCCTGACAGCGATCATCATAGGTGGAGCAGATGATTGGACGGATGGATCGAGCGCTCACTTGTCTAGCAGAAAATTCTACATTTGATAAGTTCACTAAAGCTATGTGGCTACAATTCCCTTGCTCAAAGATGATCCCGGCTTCTGAAAATTTTCTTTGTTGGGGCGAACTGCTTATCAAACCAAAATACAGTTGACTAAGTGTCTTATGTGTGTTTCCTTTTATGCGCTCTTTATAGAGTCATAATTTTACTTCGTCGAACGGTATCATACACTTGGAATGCCTCCTCGCTGTCTTGTGCAGATGGTATGCATTGTTACCTATGAAAACACAGTTTCTCGATCTTCGTACTCAGGGATCAAATGGTTTTCTGGTAAAAAAAGTTTTAACAACAACATCTGTACGGAATTCTACTTTCCATCTACAGTAAGAAGTCTCTACAAACGCCTAAATTGACTCGCATTCTTCGTCAAAGAACTTGATAGTGATGAAAGTCTTATTAACTATACTTATTGAAGAATTCGGCAGAATTTGATTTTGGGCTTACTTAGCTAGTGTCATAAGTTCGTCAAACGCTACCACACCCTTGGAAGGTATACTCAAAGTAATGGCTTCTTATCAGAGGGAAAATGGAATGCAGCAACTACCTCAAATAAAGGCTCTTCTCTTTTACTCCACGACCAGATGATTTTTCAGTAGAGAATTCGAGTTAACAAAACTTGTGGAAAATGCCTTTTTTCTATAATTACTCCACGACCAGACGAATTTTCAGTAAAGAGTTCTTGTCAAAAATTTGTGAAAAATTACCTTCTCTCAATTGTAATTCTGCAGTGCAAACGCTCAAATTAAGCAATTTTTTATACTCAATGAACTTGACATGTGTTGAATCTCTCAGCAATTGTAAATAATCAAAGGGTGAAAACAGATGGAGCTGCTACGAATTCTCTAGTTCGAAACTTTCCGATTTAGCCTAACACAATCACGAAAAGTTCCCGTTTTGACAGCAGCGATTATGAGCTGGTGCGTTGTTCGTATGCCCAAAGATATAGAAAAATATTTTGATAAGTCTTCTATAGAACCGGCCCCACGGATTTTATACTTGAAACAGGTCAAGATATTGAGGCAGACTTGTATTACTGATAAAGCTTAGTAGAGCTCCCTTGTTGTAATGTGATCCAGCGAATTCCGATGAAACTCATTTGATTTACACCAAATCTGTTTATTTTCGCAAAAACTCAATTTCGTCGATTGGTGACACAACGCGCTGGGGAGTAAGAAAGAAACTAATGCTCAGGTAGCTTACTATGTCAATGGAATTTATCACGGGTTCAGTTCAGCACTGACACATTAGGCCCACTTCCTTCCTCTCGTACTTTCTACTCATATTACAATGATCTGAACAGACAGACATAATTTTGCAATCATGGTTTTCCTATGACCGCAAACTCTGCCATCAAAACATGTTTGTAGGGTGGTTTTTGATGCTATCGTATTGCGGCATTCGATATGAAAGGAGAGAAAATGCATTCATTGCATCAATTACAAAATCACTAAGTTTTGAAAATCACACCACTTCTCCACTATCTCAATCCAGACTACTTTTGATTGGTTCATTTGTCTGAGAATTAATCTGATCACACCACTTATCAGCAGCTATCAGCTACACTATCAGCTACCGGTTAGGTGAATAGAGGTGTGTTGGAGCTGTACTTATGTAGGAGCTCCAAAACTTTCCCAGCACCTGTTCCTTACGCCCATTCTTTTGCTATGTTGATGCTCATAATGCCAGTCTGCTATTAAAGGCAGTGTCCGGGCAGAATGGGGGCTTTGGGACTCCGTTGCCATGCGAAATTGGCCCCTCTCAGACACAACATCGCGCAAGTGCGAGGTCACAACGCTCGACCCAAAGCGAGAAAAACGGAAATTGGGGAACTTGCGCCTTGGGGCGGGGTCCTCCGACCTGTTCGAATTCTGCTACGCGGCAGAGTATGTATGCCGCCATAGTCAAATCGCAGGGTCCCGCAGCGACTCTGCGTCTCAGTCTGGCCGTCGAAAAACGGGACCGTCGAATTCCAAATTGTAAGGCTTTGGAAAACGCATGTTCTAGCCGTTCTCGCGCTTTTTAATGTGGATTTTCGGATTCAACGTTGCGGATAACCTCCGGTAAGTGGATTTTCGAGAAATCGAGTTTTTGCCCGGACACTGCTTTTAGGTTCAATATCGACATGGTTCTGGTCATCGATGGGAAACCAAAAAGAATTTTTTATGTTGTCAAATTCAGTTTTTTATTGTCCCCTTATATGAGCTGTAATACTCTATTAGCCTCCGCACTTCGTGACCTGCAGCTTGACGTTTATGTATCTTGACTTCTCCTTAATCTGACTCAAAGGCAGTGGCTCGGCAAATCTCAACCTAGTCAAATTTTCGCTTACCTGGGGTTTTTCAATACGCTGATACCGAAAATCCACTTTTGAAAGCTTGAAAACGGCGAAAATGAGCGTTTTCTAATGCCCTTCCCTTTGATATTGGACGAGTGGAGCAAGGCCCATGCGCTAAATCGTGGCAGGACCCAATGGTTACAGCGTTGCGGCGGGCAGCCTCCAATAGTGAGAAGGAAATTGCCAACTCGTCCAGATGCGTGTAAGATTGGCCTGCGCGTGTAAGTTCGAGAGCGATTTTCTCGGCAGGGAAAGCATGCTGTGCTACCGGGATTGCACTATTTTCATAGTTGGGCGATGAGGAACCTACCGCGTCAAAATCCCGAGTTGTTGGATTTTGCCGATCCACTGCCTTTAACTTTATTGATTCATCTTAACGCCACCCTCTTGCTACATCCACGACACTGCACTCTAGCGACGTCATCCCTTTTTGTTACATGCTCACACCACTAAGTCGCTTTTCCTGCATGTATTTGATGATCTAGGCAGTCTTCATGCGGCTTTGGTGATTGTCGTTGGTGACATGGTCTCATGATGACACCTTACCCTTCAATTTAGGACACGCGTTTCCATCACACTAATCCTCTTGTTACATCGTTTCCTATACACGGCCAACATTCGTTGCAATATAAAGCAGTTGGGCGAACTACAGTTCGGTGCAACTGCATTTCAGTGTTGAGTGGCATCCGCCTCACAAGACTCCGCATTCATTTTGGTGGCAATCTTGTCTTGAAGAAATCATCTGCGGAGATGCTCCTAAATGCTCAAAGGCAGTGTCCGGACAGTGGGGATTTTGGGATTTTGGTGTCATGCAAAAGTGGCTTCCCTCAGACACAGCATCCTGCAAGTACGAGGTTATAAGTTCGACCTAAAGCGAGAACGATCGGGAAGTGGGGAAACTTACGCCTTGAGGCGCTCCTACCTGTTTGAATTCCAGCTTTGCATCAGAGTACGCATGCCGCCAGCAGCGACTCTGCTTCCAGCCTTGGAGAGGACCGTCGAATTTCTAATTGTAAGGCTTAAAACGTATGTTCTCGCCGTTTTCGCGCCTTCTAATGTGGACTTTCGGATTAGGGTTGCAGATAATCGCTAAGTGGATTTTTTAAAAATCGAGTTTTTGTCCGGACACTGCCTTCAAAGGTAGTAGGCTCTTAAATGCTTGAAGGCAGGCTGTCCTAGTTCCATGTATTCGGTATTTGCGGTGTTGGTCTTCAGCCCGTGCGGCTCAAGTTCACTTTTTCCTTCTGCGCTTCCGTCCCCAACCCCTTCCGCTTCTTGCCATCAGCACATGTCATCTGCGCACAGAACAGTAGTAATCTTCATGAACTTGACGTAGGAATTCGCAACCTAAGCTCGAGCTCTTCATTTCGCAAACCATTGATCGTTTTGCCGGCTGTCTTTTAACGCGCCCGTCCAATCGCGTGAAACACAGCTCCGATCTAGGCTTGAGCGAGACTCCTGATTTTAGACGTGACTGTCAGCCGCATGGAGATTGACGTATGAAGCCTCTGACTATCATATTTACATCAGTATGAAGGAGGGCGAAAATAGAACTTTGATACTGCGCTATTGATCGTCCTGCCGCTGTCTGTATGTGACTGGTGGCATCTTTGCATGTCATTGTAATCCACAGCACGTATTCTTCCAGCACCATGTGC